GCTCTGGAAGATGAAGAGGTAGGGTGTAGGTAAGGCTGATTTTTAATGGAGCAATTAATGTTTATGTACTGAACATCAGCTCTCTCAGTATTCATACACAGTGTGTATCATAGTACTTGATCATAGAGTCAAGGATTACAGTTACCTCTTTTACAGCTGCAGCTGCTTTGTCTTTTACAAATACTACTGGGGGCATATTTCCTAGGATTCGTTGACTCATCAGAAGATACCTGGCAAAAATGCAATATCAAGCAGTGTGAATACAAGTACAGCACCTTGAGGAAAGATAAAATGCATTAATTCCATGTATACTACAAATTTAAGGACTTTGTTTGCAAAACTTGCAGTCTGACAAATAGCCATTGTAGTTAGTGCTAAGGCACTAACTTTCATCAGTGCAGAACCCCAAATCTGAATGTGCAACACACAAAAACTACTAGCTGCAGATCACACTGGATAGAAATAGCATTAGGTTTGCATCCATTATGCACAGGCTAGCCTGGGTCTTTCCCCTTCTGATTTTCACAGAGTGTGGAAGGAGAGCACTGTGCTGGAGCAGGAATTACAAAACCTAGGGAAACGGGGGAAAAGGAAACAGACCTACAGCATGTTCCAATGACACCTTCTTCCCCACAGGGTGAAATTCTGACCTTCCAACAGACAAGTTGGACTGCAGAGGGTAAGCCAAGCAAAGAGGGAGACAGAAGTCTCCATGGTACCCTGCAAACTCATCAGACCCTGCAAAAAGTGAGTAATCATATCACAGTGTATGGCAGCATACTGACATTTGTTTTTTGTCATCAGCACTGTGAAGAATTTCTGTAAGATCAGTCACCACTTCAAGATGTCCAAAGTGTCTCTAGAGACCAGATTTGCCCAGTGAACCTCTACTGTGATATTTGTAACTGCCAATCCTTTTGTGCACCATCATATTCTGGCCCACTGCCACGCACAGCATGTTGAGGCCACCATCACTGGGTACAATGAAATATTGCTTTAACCAAACTCTTCTGTCCTTCTGCTCAGCCCACTCCAAACCTTTGGAAGCACAGACATGTAAAGCTAGCTGTGCTTCAGTGGGAGAATTCACAGCTGGTCTGACACAGCTACGCATTCGAAACACTAGAGCATCCAAACAGGTCAGATTTAGACTGCTAGCAATATTGAGGAACGTTGCTAATACATGGCAAAGAACAGATGGAGCAGTCTGACTGTCCATCAGGCAGCAGTACCGGATACGTGGAGCACTTTTCCGCAGCACCCCTTCAACATAATTATCACTGGCTGTAGTAGAAGCAGGATTCCAGTACACACGACAGGCTGAGAAGTTGGATGCCAGGGACACCTGCAGAAAGACAAAGGTCTCTTTAAAATTTCACATCCATATATGCACATCCACACTTCACATACAGCCAACCTCTGATCTACAAATAAACATTCAGTGATCCAAACTAAATACCTACCTTTTTAAGGGAATCTTCTCTTCCGTTCTTGCTCTTAAAAGCCAAAAATACAGTGTCTTTACAGAGCTATGGTTTAACAGCAATTAAGATCTACGTTCAATATCAAAAGGAGCTGTTTTATTTCTGCAAGTTACCGTCCAGCCTCCCCTTCCATTGAAATTACACAAAGGAGAAACCTGTCAGCTCCTGTGTGTTACTGGCAGGGTTTACATTTAGTCAGAGTGACAGTTCTATCATCACAACTAGCCCAGAATAGCAATTTATTCCATGCTGTTTTGGAATACAGTTATTGAAAAGGTATGTTGCTGCTAAGGACTCGTGATACAGCCCAGTCTGTTGTCATCAGAAGCTTGGCTCTGACACTGACAGGAAAAAGAATGGCCTCCATATCATTTGATGGAAACCTCTCGTGGGAACCTCTGGTGTTCGAACCTCCAGCTCACTGACATAATCTTCACTGCATTATGCATGCAATTTAAAAGGCTCAGTATGCCAAAGTCCTACAATTCTGTGATCCTGTGAGATGGGCTACAGTCCTCCTGAAGAACAAGCTTTGAAAAATTAATTCAAAACTGAAAGATCTGCATAACTACCATTCGTCACATCTAGCCACGGTGAGTTACCAAACGTTCTCACTGTGACAACACGCTCAGCAAACTTCTAATAATCGACCCAGCTCAACCAAATGAAGAAGTTGAGGAGGAAGGCAGCATGAACACCTCACTGCATGGCACAGTGCAGAGGTCACGTAGTCTAGAAACCAATTCCTGAAAGATACAATCAGCAGGAAAAGTCAACTCAGAGTTCACTGCCAGGAAAGAAAAGTGCATGGCAGTCAAGTCTGCAGTCAATAAGTTAAGAGTGCTGCTCCTTCCTGGGACAGAATGGGCTGTCCATTCCCAAATCGAGTCTGAAACAAGCACGCAAACAAACCGACCCAACACAAGCCATTCCTTGGTCATTATGTGAGTAATGTTATGGAGTGAATAAAAACTTGGGTGTTTCAAGCCTGAAGTATGTAAACTTCAACTTTGATACCGGGAAAAAACAAGTTCTGCTGGATAGCAGAAAGCCTTCAAAAGGGTTTACTTTGATAAGAGAAGTAACAGCACCAGATCGGAATTAGCTGAGGAGTAAATCAAGTCTCAGCCACATCTTAGAGCAGCACCAACAATAAACACTGCGCCGTTTCAATAAAATCTGCACTACGTTTAGAAAAAAGCTGCTTCTTTCCCTCCCTTTAGGGAAAAACAAGTTGTTTTGTCTATAGCAACGTCTCCTGAAAGCAGTGCAGCTTGCCTACAACAGCCAGTATTTTTGTGCACCATCAAGGTTAGGAAAGCGATCCCCAAAGCCCCATCCCTTGTCTGAAGACATTCATTCCAAACCCTTGAATTAGGAATTATTACTAATTAGTTATGACAGAACTAGCTACAATCAGGTACAAATTTCCACTCTTTCTGAAACCTTGTTTGCCAGTGCCATTTTCTTAATGCTTCTATTTATTTTCTTTTTTAACCTAAGCTCACGTTGCATCTAACCCTCCTGCCATCACAATGAAGCTGGTAAGGGACACAGTGGGGTATTAGCTCTTGCACAGCTGCACAAAGAAAAAACTCTGGGAAAGACAAATTTACAGTGGTAAAATCAGGCTCCTCCTTCAAGATACAGATATTAAACGTCCAACCAACAGGAAAAAAAATAAAAAATCACACCAGCAACATCATTACTCAGCTGGCCTAAGTGGCGTTAGCGTTATACTGGCAAAGGTCTACTGAACCAGCTGCAACAGTGGCACATGAGCTCTCCTAGCACATGAGGAAAACCAAGGCTCATCTTGCTCTGCCATGCCACACCAGCAGCAGTGCTGCAGAACTGATGCATGTTACAACACCCAAGGACCTCCTCTGGCAGACCTTTTACCAGCCTCAAATTCTAATCACAACACCTCAGGAAAAGCTGAAGCTTTTTTACTTGCCTTGCAGATTTCCAGCTTGAGATCATAAACCTCTTTATTAATCTCACAGCTACTCATCATCTCTGCCACAGCTTTATGAATAAGACCATTCAACACTTTGCAGCGTATGGTATCTCCTCTTCTAGTTTTTGCCGGGTCAGCTTTGTTGGTTGGCTCATATATCTTTAAAGAAAACAACAAAGCAGTTAGTACAAACTCACCTCAGGAAGTTATAGACAGTTTTGTATACTTTCTAGTTTCAGAATGTGAGAGTTGCAGCTACCAACCTTTTTATTTCTTAGGCGTTTCAGTAAAGAATAGTTCTGCTCATAGTTTTGATCTTTATTTACTACAAAACACCTCTCTTTTTTTATTATTTTGTACCAACTTATGTAACTCAAATCAGCTGTCTGAAATACGGTGAGTAATAAGTGAAGAGCATCACTTGCTTGAAAAGCAAACACGAAAGCTTGTTTTCTGTACAGGTCTCACATATTTACGTTTTGCAATGCAGTTTATCCACACAGAGAACTACGAGCACCAATAGAACTAGAAGTAAAACAAATTCCAGCACGTAAAGAAAACAAAGGCAACAAGGTCAGAGGACTGTCATGCTGTGACTGGTAACACAACCTCAGATTGCTAATCGGAATTTGCCTCATTCTGACAAGAACTGAAAGCAGTTCCAATCACTGATTCTCGTAGCGTGAACACTACGTTCAATAGAGGAAAATCGGGCAGGAGAAAATCTCTGGGATCGTAAAATCCAGTTCCTTGCAAACACTACGGACACCTTTCCAAAGCGATGCACAGCGGAGGAAGTTATCCCTCCTCCCGGCACGCACGATCGCATCCCGTGAGCATTTCCTTACCATTCCAGGTCCCAGCATAGGGCTGTCGTACCAGAACTTCTTCCTGCCGGACAAGAACAAGGCACTCGGCGTTACCTGCCAGCGGCTCGGAACCGACAGCTTCCCACCACTCCCGCACACGCCGACACCGCACCGCCGGCAGCGCTTCCCATCCGCGGGAGAAGCGGGGCGGGGAAGGGCGGAGGAAGAGCGTAAGGCCGCGCAGCTCGAAGACGCCCGGCACGGCAGCGCGGTGACCGCGGTCCCGCAGCGCGGCCCGCCCGAGCCGGGAGCGGCGCGCAGAGGAAGCCCGCCCGCCTCCGGCCGGCCGCCGCGGCACGTACTTCTTTCTGCGGAGCATCTTCGTTAGCGGTCTCCCGAAACCGTGCAGCGCACGGCAACACACCACGGCCGCGTTCCCCGCCGCCCGAGCCCCCCACATGCTCCCGGACGGCCTCGGCCCGCCGCTCTCCCCGGCGCCCCCTGGCGGCGCGGCGGCCCCGGCCGGCGGAGCCTCCGACGGAAGCAGCGGTAAGGGCGGGGCGCGCCGAGCCGAGGGCGGCCCGCTGTAGGCGGGGTCTTCCGGTGGCCGGAGGCTCGCGGCACGGGGGAGCTGTGTGCTGCGCTCGGCGCCGCGGCGCCCGGAGGAGGTGAGAGCTGCGATGGCGCTGGCTTTAAACTCCGCGCTGAGTTCTCTGACCGGTGACGCAAATGACAAGACGCGGCAGCTTTTCCACACAGAGGCAGCTTTTGTATTTAACTAAAAGCATTTAAACCACAAGTGAGCATCAGTTAAAGTTGCGCTTCCACATCGTATCGGTGTCGCGTACCCCCGTGAATTGCAGGGAAAGGTTCTCAGCCTCGTTTCCTCGCTCTCGGTAACCGCCAGCGGCGTTAAGGTGAAATGCAAGTCGCTTCACAGCAGTACTTCATTAGGGATGGGAAGACCCGCGAGCCCTGCCTCTATGCTCTCCGTCATGTTTTCCTTCATCAGGTGGCGCGTCTTGACGGTGGCGCTTCCGATGTGAGGAGTTAGGAGAACATCCTTCATCTGTAACAGAGGGTGATCCCTGGGGACGAAAAGAAGTGCTGAGGTGAGGGTCACTCGCACAGCAGGTTTCTTCGGCGCCTGAAGGACCAGGGAAACGCTTAAAATAGTAATTACAAACAGAAATGACGCTATGACCCAAGCATACTCAAGGCTTGAAACTGAAGCCTGCCTTGCAGCTTTTTATGCAACAAATTCTCCTAGTGAGTCAGCGTGGATTTTGCTTTGCTGCTGCAGAGGGATTGGGGACATCATCACTTCAGCAGGGCTAGAAACAAAATCACACAGTTTCTACCAGCTTTATGCTGTTTTGCATCACATGCACTCACTTCTATTTAACTTAAATGTATATCCAACCTTGGCAAAGGTTCAGGATAGGTCACATCCAGAGCAGCTGCCTTAATAACTTTGTTTTGGAGAGCCTCCACCAAAGCATCCTGATCAACAACCAGACCTGGGTGACAGAAAAAAGAAAAAAAACAACTCTTATTTTCATATTGCCACACAATATCATCTTTTATGGCATGGCGATCAGGCAACTTGTAGGGCTAGTAATGTTCACAAAGCAGAAGCAACAGCAGGGGGTGGTGAACCAGGAAGAGGAAGCTTGGTTATGCACATGAGAGCTGGACAGTCAGGATTCAACTTCAGAGTAAAAGACACTTTATTAGGGCTGAGTTTCCCAGAACTACTTATACAAAATGAGATCAATAACTGCCAGGGAACCATAATGCAGTTTTATTTATCTTGCGCCTTACCTCTGCTGATATTAATGAGAATGGCTGTGGGTTTCATCAGCTGTAGCTCCCTCTTCCCAATCAGTTTGTGTGTCTGAGGTGTCAGTTTCACAGCCAGCATCACAAAATCTGCCTGCTGGAGCAAGTCATCTATCTTCTTACAGTAGGTAGCTCCAACAGCACGTTCTTCTTCCTTGTTTCTTGGGGGGCAGGGAAATAGGGAAGGGGGAGAGAACTCTAGTCGTAACCAAGAGTTTGCAGAAAAAGTTTAAATCAGAGTTAGAAAAACGACTTTTTTTTTTTCCTTTGCTCTTTAGTGAGAAGCAGCTAGTTAATAATACGACAAACTAAATGAAGAGCAGCGCTAAGCTCTGCTTCTCACAGTATCAGCCCTACTATGCAAAAATGTGCACTACTACACCCACGTCAAGAAAGTGAGAAGTGCATATAAATGCGCTGAGTAAATAAAAAGATAAATGCATCTGTGTCACAGCTTTTGGATGTAACAGAGATTCTTTTCCAACTCAAATGCAAAACTGATGTTTGACACAAATTCCCTTCCTTGTGAATAGTAACTAAAAAATTGCTGAGGAAACAGAGACAGAGGATAAATCCTCAGAAACAGATGACAACAGAAGCCTGCCTGCTCCGTGAATCAGTACCGTCTCACTGGAAGCATACACTGCAAGGTCTGCCAGCATGTTCATCCCATCAGGACAGTCTGGGCTGTGCACTGTGCTGCTCACATTGGCTTCCCACAGATGTGAAAGATGCACAGCACGTGGGATGGGTCCCTGAGAGCCAGGTGTACAGAACGATACGTGTGCTTCTGTCTGAAGACAGTCAGAAGGGCTGCTCTCCTTAGGAGCAGCTAGTTCTAAAAGGAGGAGGTGTTTCTGCCTGCACTGCTGCTGTGTGTAAGTCACAGCAGTAACGTCACCTTAGACTGTTTTCTCCACTCCTCAGTCTACTGTGAGGTCACCAACATTACAGGGAGGTTCACAGGGAGATCAGTGAGATTGATCAGTTCTGTTCCTTTCTGACTTGGTTTTCATACAAATCATGAAACCGATGACAATCCTGAAGCCAGCTCACATATTTTGCCACTTAAAGGGAGAGTTGTGAGAGAGCTACAATGGCAAAGCAGACTTTCTTTGCAGCTGTGACCAGTTTTACCTCTGTTTCCTGTTGTGGTATAAAATTTTCATCTCAAAGGCTTTGGCTCTCTCAGCCACTTTGTAGCCAATGGCGCCCATTCCAACGATGCCTAGAGTAGCTCCAGAAACCTCAGCACCCAGCCAGTTGGCAGGGAAATATTCAGTGTCAGGGGATATTGCCATTTGATAGCCTTGGAAGGAAAAAAAGAAAAAGTCACATCAAGAATTAAACGATTCCTGGCATCTGGTTACTTTCTGTCATAGAACAACACAGAAGGAACAGTAAAAAGCTGTTCTGTTTCTGGACGAGATCTGAATAGTGATGCACTAGCAACCCAATTTCTTACACTGATTTCTTTCTTAGGATATCAGCATACCCAGACCCTCTTTGGAAGAGGAGACAAGGGCAAAGAAGCCCTTGAAGAAAGAAAGAAGCCCAAAGAAGCCCAAACCTCAGCAGAGCTGCTCGTTGTCTTTCTGTCTGCAGTGCAAATGAATTATTGTCCCACTAAAATGCAACTCTGCAACACAGCTTCCTACTCATGGGATTCACCAGCAGGACTAATGTGACAGTGCTACAGATGGCACCTGTGCTGTGTTTGCTGAATGGTGCATCTGATGTAACACAGGTTAGGTTGTAGCATCATCAAGACTTTCAGTAAGGCCAAAGTGTGTTTCCCTGCCTTCTTGCAGGTAGAACACAACTGGCAGATAACAGAAACACAGGAAAGGATGGACAGGATTCTTAACAGTTGATGAAAAAAGTCTTAACAGTTTGTTCACAGCAACTCAAATTTATGCCAGCTAGGCAAAGACAGGTTTTAGGGCTCCTTGCCAACATCTCTTTATTAGAACTTGAAAAGCAAGACTGCACTGGACAAGCAGAATGAGTGGCTACGATGAAGAACCCTCAAGACTTTAGGGCTATCTGGAAAAAGAAATGTACCTACCTTAGTAATACATCTGGTGGGAAACTGAATGCACTACATGCAAGTTACTACTACCAGCATGACAGAGTTATCCTTTTCCTCATCCCTGTTTTTCTTCCAGTACTTCTGCTCCTAAGCCCACCTTTGCATCAGCACACGCTTTCTAATTGCGTGCTTTGAAGAGCCAGCTTTGAAAAGTCAGAAAGCCTTTCAGTTATTACCTTCCACAAGTCTCCTGGAAGATGCCAGCATCAAAGCCATCCCCAGGTCTGCAGTGTCAGTGGAAACAATCGATGGAGTGTTAGACACTTTCACACCATAGCTGGAGAGGAGATTCAGATCCAAGTGATCTACTCCCGCTCCAGAGCTTGCAACTATCTTCAGGTTAGGCAGGCTCTGCAGCAGCTCCTCATTAATAACCGGTTTGTGATACCACATATAAATAGCTCTGATCTTTTTGCCAAGAAAGCTCTTGTTTTCAAGATATTCTTTCATGGTGATGAGACAGAAACGTTCCTTTAGAAATTCAGCATGGTCTTCGTATACCCCATGCTTCCCTCCGATGCAGTCAATTAGCACACAGGGCAGCTCCTGACCCTCCATGTCCTGCAAAAGCAATGAGAAACCAGAATGACATCTCCCGCTGCAAGTTTTTTGAGAACAGGAACTGATCGGCTCAGTTGCATGCTTTTTTCTCACTTGAGGATCGATCTGGTCAAAGATGTTTGCTCTCGTGAGTGGAACACGCGAGTTCACCAACCCGTCTTCGGAAGGATGCGACTGCGATTCGCAAGCACAGTCCTGGCACCAGAGCTACAGAAAAGTTCAGCGTCACACGCCGCCAACAGCAGCTGGCAAGCCTGCTTTGCTGGCTAACAACAAGCAGCAGTGCCCGCCCCAGGACCGCCGCAAAGCAGTACCGCTCTCTCGCCCCGGCTGCTCGAAACAAGCACGCACCTTCCCCGCAACGCAACGCAACGTCCCGTCCCCCACCGAATCCCCCGCCACCGCACCACGGCTCGGCAGACCCAGGGCGGGCTGGGACACGGCAAAAGTCCTCTCAGAAGGCGCTTGCGGACGGGACCGGAGACGGGAGCGCGCCTGAGAGACAGCCCGCCGCCGCCCGGCGGGAGCGAGCCGCCCGGCTCTCGGTGCGGGCGCACGAGCTGACGGAGCCGGGCCCCCTGCGCCTCTCACCTGCGCGCCGCTCGCCGACAAGGGCCGGCAGCACGGGCTGGGAGGGGAGGAAGCGAGGGGGGAGGAGGGGCGGGAGAAAAAGGAGAGGAGGGAGGAGCCGCTCCTGGAAAAGGTGCCGGCGGCCGCGGCTGCGTCTTGGCGTGGGGGGGGAGCGCAGCTTGTCTGCGTGGGAAAAGGGATAACGTGGGTTAACGAGTCGTTTTAGCTGGGTACGTATGGTAAGGTGTGAGCTGATTCTGTGCACTGAGACCTTCAGAGCAGCTCGGATTTTGGAGCTTGATGATCCCTGAGGTCCCTTCTGTGATTCTGAGGCGGTTCCTCTTGCTGTGTAGATGGTGAGCGAGGCACTCCAGGAAGGCTCTGACCTGTGCCGTAGGAGCAGCCGAGAGCCAGAAAACCCCGCCTGAGACCAGGGACCTCTTTTCCTTCCGAGCCGAGAAGGGACCAGCACTTGTGAACTGCTGCACTGTCCTGAGCCCTGCAGCACTTTGCAGTTGCACAATTGCATACAGGTCTGTCTCCTGAGTTCTACCAAACACATTTTGGTATGCTGAACATTCAAGCCATCAAGTTCAACATGAGATCCTCTCTAAAGTAACTAAGAAAAAATGAAGTGTAATAGACAGTCGTAATGCAAAGTGATACATAACCATAACTTTTTATCTTGTCGGTGACTTTTGGGTATCATTTATTGACGTGAGTTTCAAATTCTCAAGGTTAGGCTTTAAACCAAAAAGCCATGAGCTAGCTAGACAGAGTTAAAGCAGTAACTGGATTCCTGGTACGAGTTCAGTTTTTGACCTTTCTTTAAGAGAAAGCAATAAACATTTAATGCTTACACGTTTCCTGTTTCACATCAACCTCGTGTGAGTTTGCTGATAAGATGTAATGGGTGATCTTTTAACTTACTGCTTATGTAACAGTGCCTGAGATTAAAGGGTCGATGTGAAGTAGAAGACAAGACATTCCACAACTAATTTTCTACCGACTTTTAGTACTGAAGGTCAACAAATCCAGCAGCAAACAAAAACCTTTCAAAGATCAGTGCAATAGTTATCCCACCTGTGCATCAAATCAATACATTTGGATTAACAGAAGATACCTTTAGACAAAGAATAGGCGATCAAATATTCAAAGCACTGTTCTTCTTTAAGTAAGAATCGAGGACACATACATCAATTATCAAGAAAATGAGCTTGGTTATGTGGCTAGACGGGGAGAGAATCAGACAGATGCCAAGTTGCTTTGTGTCACTTCAGCAAATTTTCAAATTTGTTTAGGAGCTGGTATTAAATAGAGCAAAACATGTGACAGAAGGGGTCAGGAAGCCACTCACACTCTGAATGTGAACTGCCAGAATGTCACAAATAGCTTTGCATGGGCAGCGGGCAAACAGCAGCTTGAGATATGTGCACGTTGTTGCAGGTGAGCGCCGCACGAGTCCACTGCCATATTTTAGGTACCTTGCATTGGAAAAGGAAGTATTGCTACATGCTAATATTTTATTGTTGCTGAGAGAGATCTATTATACTGGCATTGTGACAAAGCTCTCTGAAATTCGTAGTTTCTATGACTACAAAGAAAGAAGTATTGCACAACTTAACTCCTAGTTTCATTAATTGTTACATGTTGCCATTGGTCTCTGTGTACTACTGCAGGACTGGCCGATGCCTGCAGTGTTGACAAGGTGCTTGCATAATGATTGTTTCTTAAGGTAAGGTTTTGAAGTATTGCATCAGCCTAAGAGACTTGTGCACAACGTAATCCATTTCCTAGCTGGGATGTTTAACCTGGTTTAAGCATGAAATTGGATGGGGGTATATGATCCTTCTGTGTTTAAAGTAGTGTTATATGTGAGCAGGATGCATCAATACATTAAACACACACACACACACAACAACCAAACACAACCAGGAGGTCTGTATTCTCATGGTTTTGCTTTTCAGGCAAGGCCAACCCAAGGAAGCAACTACCTCTCACTCACAAATTATGCCACAAGAACATTTGATGCATTTGATGTGCATTTGATTGGAAGCCATCATGAAGCACCACCACTAACCTGCCTGCTTGCTTCAGGTAAGGCCTGCATCTCATTAGACTGTTGTAGCAGCAGTCTGTGCTACGTCATACAGTGTGCCTGTCCAAACAGACCCGCACTAACAGAACAAATGTCACATTTTGCATTACAGTGTCTGCTGCAGTTTTTTATTCTTCTTTTAGAGATTTTAAAACTGAACGTATTATGTCTTCCAAGTACAATCTAAGTAGAATAAGAGGAGGGAAACAGCATGGAAAGATGACCTTAACTGTATGTAAGTTGATTTGATGCTATTCAATACGTATTTAGATCGAGGAAAGGTAGGAAGTGGAGGAATATTTCTTGTTTAATTTGAAGATAAGAGGCACTTGCTTCCTGAAGACACTGTTAGGAAGCTGTACTTCAGGTCACGACTCCCAGTTTGTAAGGCGATGTCAAGTAGTTAGGTGTTGTATTGGAATCAAACCCATCCTTCCAAGCTGACAGCTGCCCAGCACTCCGTCTGAAGCGCTGCACTGGCAAGGAGCACTTCTCTAGATCAGCTCAGACTCCTAAATATCTGCAGCAGTGGAAATAAAAGCAAGCAAATGACAAGTGCATTCTGTTCTTTTGGGTGCTCGTGAAATGATGTTCTGTTTGCTGCTTCTGTTTCAATCTGGAGAAGTTTGTAGGTGCAAACTCTTTTCTCTAGTTTGTGGATATTAATCTAATGCATGGTATTTTTTTTCATCTGTTACTGTAGATACCGGTGGCTTTGTTTTCAGCTTTGCAATTTGTCACCTTAGCCTTTTATTATGAAAGGATAGACTTACATTTGTCAGGATAATGCTGGTGAGATCAAACACATAGTGGATACCTGTACCTCAGGGAACAGGAGGTCTTTTGTAGAAGGAACACGGGACAGCCCTAAAATTCTTGTCAGCAAAATTGCTGCTCCTTAAAAGCTACAGTAATTTGTTTCCCCAAGCCACAAGAGTTGTTATACACAGGTTCCAAAACCTAGGTATGCTAACATTCACTGTTTGGTCTCCATAAACATTAAACAAGCATTGATGACTGCCATTTTTTCTGCGTGGAGGAATTCAGTTCCTCACCTTTGCTTCACACACACTTCATGTCAGACATCATTTTGTCAGACTGCGCCTCTGCTGCCATCTGTCATGTGGCAACAAAATACTATGGAATGTTGGCAGGAAGGTTCAGCCTCTACTCCCATCCCACCAACATCTGCCTCTGACATGATGGGCCAACCTAATGAAATAGTAATAAAAACCTAATGAAATAGTGACAAGCTGCTCTAAGAAACAGGAGGGGGAAATGACTCTGTAAAGATTTATAAAGGTTTATGAGACTGCAGACAGGATCCGAGCTGTGCCTATGGGCAATTTTGCTATGAATGGTAGTGATGAATAATCACACTGATCATAAAGCCTTACTACATGATAGCATTCATGGCAGTGCCACTTGGAGTCGTGCACTGGAAGTTTGTATTTTAAGACAACAGAGTGTACATAAGTTTTAGTGAGGTGGATGAACATTCTTCTGTTCAGAGAAATTGCATTAATTAAATTAAATGAATTAAAAAATGCAGAAATCGAAATAATTGATTGCATTAGAGATGCTGTTTCTAGTGTGGTAAAGCCATGGTTTCTTACTATGATAACTGCAGCCTTAAAAACAGTTTGTCAAGTTGCTGTTTCTAATCTTTGTAGTACTGGTGCTCACTGTTGTGTCTTGCTTCAAATATAGATATTCCTGCAGAAGGAAATCCTACTGACTTGGGCTTCAATGGTGTTTGCTTTTTCACAACTGTTTTTCACGTTCCTTCTGAGTTACAGAGTGGTGCTGAGTCTGACAAACATTTTTGCAAATATTTTGTGCTAAGTTGAAAATATTCAAGGTAGACTTTGAGTAAGTTTGGTATTCCAAACATGGCAGCACGTCCATCTTGGAGACTATTTTTCATTAGTGCTGTTGTTTGCAACTACAAACTGTCAGCTCAGATCTTCTGCTTTGAATAAATGATACTGAGCATGTTTCTGAACACTGATTTTTGTCTCAGCATTTCAGGTCTCAGGTGCTACTTTAAAAGGAGACTTCCATATAGCAGGTCACTAATATTTCTAGCAGGCAGCTTGCACTGTTTGCTTTGATATCTAATATGAATGAGGGGAGCTATGCAATCTAAGCAGATATGTTCTTTAGGACTCCTATACGTTTTTTAAAGTACTGATGTAAAATTGCTATTTTCTCCTTTGTATTACCTCTTTCCTTTAGTCAGGCATTCTATTTCCAAAGTTTTCTAAGAATAATACAGAATGCTGAGACATTTTCTCTTGTCTCATGACTATCTGGTAGCACTCTTAAAATGATTGGTAGATAGAAAGGATCTGTCACCCAGGAAAGCTCACTTTTGAACATGTTGTTAATAAAATATAACTACATAAAAATAAAAATAACTCTAAAGTGATCTGTTACAACCTGTGAAGTCCTGTTTCTCTCACAATAGGCAAATTAAAACATCATTTCTAAGGAGCCTTTCCAAAGCTGCAAATAAGTAGGCAATCAGAAGTTATTTCTCCCAGAGCCTTTTAAAGCCTGCGTGCATTTATCCATAGCTGAAAGTGAGGAGCAGTTTGTTCCTCCACAAGGGAATTAAAACTATGAAGGCCTCATTACATGTGAGACTCGGCCAGAGCTCTCCCTGCCCATTCTGAACAGGTGTCTCTTAATGGGGAAAAAAAAAGAAAAGAAAAGAAAAAATAAAAAAAAAAAAGAATAAAAGCATTTAGAGCTGATTGGGAAAAGAAGAAAGATATTTGGAGCTCCTTTTGCTCTTCAGCTAGGCAGCACTTCACTAGGCATGGGAAGACCAGTAAGAGCTGCTAGTATGTTTTCAACTGCTTCCTCTGTTATCATGCGGGTGGCCTTGTCTGTTTTAATGCCAAGGTGAGGTGTTATAATTACATTCTTCAATTTTAGTAATGGATGATCTCTGGAAGAGGAAAAAAGAGAAAGTTAAAACATAACTGTCATTTATCCAAATGAAGAGTCTCGTTTAGGCTTTCACACTGTATTTAACTATGAAGATAATATAACTTTACAATCCCACTGACGTCTGTAGACTTTAATCACCTGTGTTCAGATAATTCTGGGTGTTAAAAGGATGTGTTAAGTATTTACACTGGGCTCTTTTGCCCAAGCCCAGAAACACATTTTTTGCCACGAGCAGCAATTTGCACTACATCAGAACAGAGCACTCTCAGCATATTAACGCTACACAATGCTCTGAGCTGTAGTTATGCAACTCAGGAAATGGGCAGCAATTCAGTTGTCTCCCCAAGGAACCATTCTGGCAAATGTGCCTGTAGCCTCTGGGCCCAGGAGGTCTGCAGTACTTCAGCTCTGTACTGGAGAAACAAGCCTGTGCAGAGGGAAAATTTGGGACAGTACAGCATGTCTAAGGAGGGCTGATTCAACCAGCTTCCGCACATTCAATATGTTGCACCTTTAGATAAAACAGGGAGTGAAGCACACGTGTATCTTCAGAGGGTGATTCTGTGGCCTAATGCTCCCCTAATGCACAAGCTCCCCCGTGCTGTTTCCTGCTACCCCCGCTTCCCTTCAGCCTGTTATCACTTCCAACATCTGGGCCGCATCCCTTATTCACAGCAATTTCACACAAATGTGCAGCCCAGGAGCAGAAGGAGATGCATCTCCGTGACCCCTGCCTGCCAGCCTCATGCAGTGTTTCTGAGGAATGAGAAGAAATGAGATGGTGACCTGGGCAGCGGCTCCGGGTCGGTGACATCCAAAGCTGCAGCCCTGATAGCACCAGTGCGCAGAGCTCCCACCAGTGCCTCTTGGTCCACCACTGCACCTGGGTTGGAATAACAGCAACGCTGAGCACTATTTGCTGGTCTCAGACAGGAAAGAGGGTGGAAAGGGGGAGTGAGGAATTTTTGCCAATCCTGCTCGTTTTCAGCACGTGCACAGCTCCACAGAACGAGCTGGCTTGTATTTAGTAGTCAGGCCAGCAAATACTACACATTTTCCAAATGCTACCTCGGCTGATGTTAACGAGAGTAGCTGTGGGTTTCATCAGTTCCATCTCTCTTTTCCCAATCAGCTTGTGTGTCTGAGGTGTCAGGCTCACCACCACCATCACAAAATCTGCCTGGCAGAGCAAATCATCCATCTTCTCACAGTAAGTGGCACCAACAGCTTGTTCTTCCTGCTCTTTCCTGATGGGGAAACAAAGGATCACACAGCATTTCAGAGCATCGGTCGTGCAAATATTGTCTACCACGATGCCACTGGTGTACAAACGCAGGTCTGCCATTAATGCAGCCAACAGGTGGCAGAGTAGCATGTGTTTAGTGCCTCTGGAAGGCAGCAAGCCCTGCCTGCCTCTCAGCGTCTGCAGTGCAGGTTCGCTGACTTACTTTGAAGTCTGCAAGTGGACTGAAGCTAAGCACAGGAGTGGACACGGCCCATTCTGCAGGATCTCTGTGGGAAAGGTGCACCTCACAGGATACAACAGTCACCCAAATTGGAGTATTCAGATTTGCCAGGATTCATCCCTGGGACCTCTGAGAATGCTCGTCAGCATTCTCGTCATTTGCAATGAATGGAATCAGCAAGGCAGTTCTTTGGTAATTTAGGATGGTTCCTGGCCACTCCAGGACTTTCTAAGTGTGGGTTCTTGGGACTCTCTAAGTAATAAAGCATGTAGCTACACCAAAAGATAACAAATTAAAGTGAGATTTCTAGTTTGAATTTTTCACAGGAAAACAGGATAGCTGCCATTTCTGTTTTCTTGCCTGGATTCTGGGAAGTAAAGAAGCAAACATAGGAGAATATGTTTGAAATGTTTTGCTCTTAGTTGCAAGAGAATGAGTTGGAATTATCTCTACACTAAAAATAAAGAAAGAAATCACACTAGGCAAATAAGCTCAGTGGCACTTTGGACCAAGTGTCTCTAACACATGCATTTTGTTGGCTTTGTTCAGTGTCGAGGTCGACAGACAGTGACTGAGTAAGGAACAGGCTGGAATTACAGCCAGTTCAGCAACATGCAGAGCGTGTTTTGCTTCAGCACACAAGGCAGAAATGTAACTGGACTTTAAAACAACACATTTTTTTCACTTCTGTTGCCATGTGCCTTGCTGTTTCACGATGGCACTCTTAGATATACATTGAAGACTAAGAAATACTAAACAGAGGGAGACAGTGAAGACCAGCAAATAAATACATAAGTAAATAAATAAAAATTGTGCTTTATTTTCTTTTCTCTGTGGTTTATGAAGGAAGTCTGAAGGACTTCTTTCTAAATCCTGCAGAAGGAGGGATTGGTCTAGTATTTTTTGAACATTTCTCTCTGTATTCCTGACATAATTACATAATTTCTTGGAAAGGAAATACTGACTATATGAAAGGCAGTTTCTGCTGCAATTCAGGTCTTTACCTCCGTGTTCTGTTGTGGTACAAAATCTTCATCTCGAACGCTCTGGCTCTCAGAGCAATCTTATACCCAATGCTGCCCATGCCAACGATCCCCAGAGTAGCTCCAGTAACTTCAACTCCAAGAAAATCAGCTTCACAATACTCCACACCCGGGGACACGGCAACGTGATAGCCTGCAAAAATAAACATCCAGGATGATGAGTGAATGAGGTCCAGCACAGGTGAACGTGGCCAAAGAATCCACGCTCAAAGTGCGGCTGCAGTGCGTTTCACAAGTGCAAACACACAGCTCTGAACAGCAGCCCTTTCTGCAGTATCCTGGGAGATTTCCTAACACAACATATTTCCCTGCCATGTGTGACATTCTCCATTTGCTCCTACTGTCCCATAAAAAGCATTTTAATAAATCTCCCTAAAAATCATTATAACAAATGAGACTCGTAAGAATACTGATCTCCTCTTCCTCAGTAATCAAAACCATTACTGCCAGGGACATTGTAGAGGTTGGAAAAACCACATTTAGAATACCACTAGATGTTGGTGTTGCTATTTAGAATAAAGATAGGTTTCCTGTTCATCTCTGCCACTCTTCTTTGAAAAGGAAGCGTGACTTCTTTAAAAATCACTGCTCAATTGTTTAATTGCTTATCTGTTAAACCTGCCAAATTTGGCGTAGCCACACAAACAGAAAATAAACTTGTATGCACAGTGAGACAGAGATTATTAGCCAGCTAGCAAGGAGAGAGGCTTCTGATGTTTGTGTCTTCCGATATGGCCAGTTCTTGTTAAGCACGAGCAGAATATTGTGAAAGTAACAAAAAATGCCTCAGGTCATGCCAGAGGACAGCTATCAGAAATGGCACCACAGGCTAATTTCTCCCCTTTGAGTTTCTATGACTCCTCTGGTACAGGTAGCAAATCAACGGCAAGGAAATTTTATAGGATGAACCTGAATAATCTTTTCCTGAAGCTGGAGACATTCTAATCAAGACAAGGATGGGTTAATCTGGGGAATCAGCAAGAAAAAAATGGAGAATTTTGGAAGAAACTAGAAGGGGTGCTGCTAACAGACACTGGAGCAACCTGCTTCGATGATTGCTGATGCACCTTAAATTCCTCAGTTCCAACTTCTAAGACCAAGCTCTGTCCATAAAGCAGTGTTTTATTTGAATATAAGGTGTTGCTCAAGTATTTGCCACCCATGCTGGTGAACTGTGAAAAACAAACTCTTATGATTTTATTTATACCTGGTTGAAATAGGAGCGTTTCTGTAAGGTGTAGCAATTTGGATATTGAATATATATAGAATATATCAAAGTACAAAATCTTCAATTTTCCAGCCCAACACAGTAAGCTATTCACATTTTGTTGCACTATGGATATCTTCAGAAAAGTCAAACTAGTGGCACGTAAGTTGTATCATTTCCAGAAGATACACAATAAAAGAATCAGAGATTACCTTCTACCAGTCTTCTAGCAGATGCCAGCAGCAAAGCCATCCCAGTATCTGCTGTGCTACTGGAAACAGCACGTGGAGCATTAGCCATTTTCACACCAAAGCCAGCCACAAGTTTCAGATCCAGATGATCCATCCCTACTCCTGAATTTGCAATCACTTTCAGGTTGGGCAGGCTCTGGAGGAGGTCTTTGTCAATGACTGGTTTGTGCCACCACAAATAGATCGCTTGGACCTTTTTTCTCATATTCTTTTTGTTTTCAAGAAATTCCTTCATAGTGATGAGGCAGAAGTGCTTCTTCAGAAACTCCACATGGTCATGCAGTATCCCATGCATTCCTCCAATTTCATTCACCAGAAGCCCAGGCAGCTCTTCTCCCTCCATCATCTGCACGAAGAAGAAAGAGAGGCAGCATCAAAAGAAATACAAATATTTTTTTCCAAATATTTTAAAGAATCATCACTTTCATGCTCTTGTTCATGACAACTATGACAAGAGAGCTAACGAACTGTATATTTAGGCAGGGGGGCAAACAATTTAGGACAAGAAAGCAGCTCTTTTAAGCACATTATCATTTTATATGAAAACAAACTAAAAACAAGCAAGCAAACAAAAAGAGCAACCCCAAACCCAACAACAATGAGGCAAAACAAACATACAAAACAAAGAAACAACAAAAACAAACAGCCTAGTCTTCATATAAGGAAGTATGAACAAGTTCTGTCCCTCACAGGCTGTAAGGTCACTGTCACCAGGCGTATAACATGCAGTAATTTCTCATCAATAACTGAGTTTCATGCCATAAATGCTCTGGTGTATAAATCTTCTGTCCTGTCCCAAAATCACCATTTACTGTGTCTAAGAATTTTAGAAAAGCGCTGGAACAAATCGAACTCCTGCAAGTAAATTGCACGGGTTCACCATGAACTTTGTGATACAGGTTAATTTTTCTATTCTTTATCTTTCCAGCCTCCTGTCCTGAGATGACACTAGTGACTTTTTAACTGCAGTTGCTTAGATGTGTGTTTTTAAATGAGGACTCTAGCACTCAAGTTAAAAAAGCATTACATTATTTTTCTCCAGAACTCACTGACCACTTGTTTGTGGTTTCCAGGAAATCTGTTGATAGACAGCTGTTAAAAAAAAAAAAAAAAGACATGTAATAGTTCCCTTTGGTTTTTAATGGGAATCTTGTAAAGAGCTGGGGGTGAGGAGAGAGCAGGGTGCTGTTGGAGGACTGAAAATACAGCAATTCCCTACAGCAGTGCAGACTGCTGTCTTGTTAGTAGTGTTTTCACTATTTGCTTGTGAATATCTGGCTCTTTGTCTACAGTTACTGTGCTAAATGTTCATTTTACCACACCTTCAAGAAGCCCGACTGTATTCCAGAATAAGGGAAAGTCTTCACGATTTTATAAAGGTGACAAATATTGTACTGTTTGTTTTTCTTCTCCCACCACCCCCCTATTTTTAATGTTTGCTCAAAAAGCAAAAAAACAAACAAACAAAAAGAAAACCCAAAACCAAAAGAAAAAACCTACTGAAGAGCCTGGAAATGTCAGTCCATTGTGACACGCCAGTCACAAAACACTTCCAAGCAGGTTTTAGTTATACCAAGGATGATACGTCTCTGGTTCTGTGCCAAGACATCTAGCTGCTCTTGCTTGTTCCTCATGCTGTTTACATTGGTGTACAAATATTTCAAATGTGCTTCATTACACTCAGCACATCATGGAGAATGCTCGAGGGTCTCATTAGCATGCACTCTCTAAAATGTTGGTGTGCTGTCCCCTGTCTTACACCAGGTCAGATTGGTTTTAGCCAGTTTTCCATTCAAACCTAGCCTAGAGCTCTATTGATAAGCTCTGTCAACACGTGTGCAAAAGTGTTTGAAGCCCTCTGAGAAAGGAGCATCCAACGAGGCTCTGTAGAACATCCTGCAATTGAAAAACACAAAACATGTGTTTGACGTTCTGCAGTAGCTGGACTAAGTAAAAGATATATAATATAACGCTAAATTCAAAAGCATTATTGATCTGATCAGAGCGTTAATCTAGCACAACTCTCAAAAATGTATCAGTTTTTATTACTGCAGCTCAGTCATTTGGGGGCTCTTGCAGACTTTTTTTGCTGAGGAGGCTGCTGAAACACGTTCAAGCACGCAACGCAGACCCAGCACCTCCTGCCCTCCTGTCAACTCTCCCCACCGTGTCTTTACAGGCAGCTACCGGCCATCCCGAGGAGATCCTTGCCAGAAAAGGAAGAGCAAGAGAAAGTCGTTCCTCTGCTGGGTCCCCGGATGGTGGACTTCTTTGCCATAGCGAGGGAGAAGAAGAGAATGGTACGTGGCACAGAGTGCTGCAGCACATTTGTCTCAGTGAACTGTAGAAGAGCATCACTGACTCTCACAGCGCTCTTTGCTGCGCGTTCACGCGACACCTCGCTTGAAGAGAGATCAGCAGCGAGGGCGATTGGGAATAAGCTGTTCACTGCCGTTAGCCTCCCGCAAGCCACCCCAGGAGCTGATCTGGGGATGTTCCTGACTGCTTGTCTAGAACTGCCAGCTGCCTTTAGCCCTTTAGTGGTTGTTTATTTTCCTGGCTGTTGCAGAAGGGCTCTTCAGTCGAGTCCGCGGGAGCCTGGCAGCAGACCAGAAAGGCGGGAGGTAGAGGGTGAAATGGAGTCAGGAGGGGAAAGCCCTCAGCCTCCACAGAGACTAACGTTGCCTGTTGTTGCATTTAGGCCGACCTCGAAGCAAAGGCTCTAGAGACCAAGAAAGGAAAGGTGGTGAAGAGGCAGAATGTGAGGAAGGAGGAGGAGAAGGGGAAGAACGTGAGGAAGGAGAGGGAGGCGAAAAAGGTGAAGGAGGTGAAGGAGGTGAAGCCGGTGAAGGAGGTGAAGCCGGTGAAGGAGGTGAAGCCGGTGAAGCCGGTGAAACCAGTGAAGCCGGTGAAGCCGGTGAAGCCGGTCAAACCAGTGAAGGAGGCGAAGCCGGTGAAGCCGGAGAAGGAGGTGAAGCCGGAGAAGGAGGTGCAGGAGAAGAAATTTCCAAAAGTGACGCAGAAAAAGCAGCAGCAAAAGTTGCAAGGGAAGAAAGCAGAAAAAGGCGAGCAGCAAAAGTCGCAAGAGAAGGACACGGAAGCTGAGCCGGAAGAAGTGAAGCTGCCAGCGGCCCAGGTACTTTGCATCCCTGCAAGAAAGCAGCAGCACTTTCCCATCCAGGGGAGCTGAGACTGCATGGTGCCTCTGGCACCCGGGCCAGAGCAGTAGTGGTGGTGCAGCAGCGCTGGGTGGGGGACTGCTGCCTTTTGTGAGCAAGAGGACCCAACAGGGCGCTGTAACAAAGCCCTGGTCACGCTGAGACATGGCCTCAAGAGCGTGCTGAGGTCCCTCTCCTGATTCTTTTCCTGCCCCACTGCAGTCCCCACTGGAGTGGTCTTGCGGGGAGCTGCATGCTGGGAAGCAGCACCACAGCGCCGAGTGTCTTTTCCTATGCAGGAAACCTCTGTCACCGAGGAAGAATACTCAATCTCTCTGTCTGGGAGCGAGACAGAGAGTTCCAGCTCCTCCCCCAGCCTGAGAGAGAGGATGATGGGGAAGCAGGAAGAGGCCGAGGAAGAGCCGCGCGCAGTCTTCTGGGACAGCGCTGCTTTGCCTAAACGGTAAGCGTGCACCAACTGCACCCGAGGCCAGGGGCAGGGGGGTGGTGAGTCACCTGTGCTGTGGATCAGGGAAGCCAGCTTTTGAGTCGTGGTGCCGCACGCAGCGCCCGGAGAGCTCTGAGGCCGTGGATACGGTCGTGGTTAGGGCCCGATGCCACGAGCCTCTGTGGAGCCCAAGGCAGCCCACGCGTGGAAGTCGTCCTGCGTCAGAGTGGCTGTGGGGCCAAGTGGGGCCACGCGTGGAACAGACTGGGTGAAGAAAGAGGCAGGGGCGTCACGGCTGAAGAGTGAGACGGATTTTGTGCTCGCTGTTGCAGGAAGCTTTCTTCGAGGACAGATGAGGCCCTGCGGGAGGTGGTGAAGCTCATTGTGGGGCAGGTGTCCCGTGAGCAGCAGGGCCGGAGAGACGCAGAGAAGGATCTGCAGGACCGGCTCCAGAGGTAAAGCTCTCCAGACAGGCAGCTTGCTCTCCCACACTGCCCTTCTCCCACCCCCTGCAGCACCAGGGCAAAAGAGGGGCCTTTCCTGGACGCGGGCTCTCGGCACGGCCACCTGCAGCAGTGGTGGCAGGCACCAAGCTTGGGAGCCCCAGCCAGAGGCCGGTCTCCCTGTGCTCACACCCCCTCCCGCTCTGTGCCTACAGTGAGCTTGCAGTGCTGTGGTGGAGTCGGCCATCCACACACGCACCTGGCCTCCTCCATCTGCCAGGAGCGGAGCACAGACCTGCACCCCCTGCTGGACCAAAGCCAGAGAAGGCGTCACGCAGAGTGGTAAGTGGGCTCCCGTAAGCAGCGTGTCACAGCTAGCCGTAGCAAGCCAAGGGAAGACCCTCTTGGGCCTGTGGGATGGAGAGCGGCTGGCGGTGGAGCTGGAGACCTCCGCACAGACACCCAGCCAGCGGGCGCTGGGGACGAAGGTTCCCAGCGCAGCTCAGGCAGCTGCAGGCGGAAGGCTCTGAGGTGTCGGCCAGGGTCTGGCGGCCCTCCGTTCTCCAACCGGCGTCCCTCCCTCTCCTCCCAGAACACAGAGCCCCGAGCACCTCGCTCTCACAGCCTGTATCTGCCCGGGCCGAGGTCTCAGCCACCGCCTGACTCAGTGCCTGGTCAGTCAGCCCCACAGCAGGCTACCCCAGATCGGGACTGGCCACAAGGGCTGCAGTTACATCACAGGGACCAGGAGCCTGCTCTCTCTAGACCTGCATGAGCAGAACCACTCTCTCGTACTGCAGAGAGACTTGCAGCGTTGCGCTGCGTGTCTCTGCGCTCACAAAACTACTGAGCTTTACACTGAACTCCTCAGGTCCGGAGAGTCGTGGTCAGGCACGTCGACCAGGACCACGAGAGATCCAGCAGCAGTGAGATTCTGGAGCCAGACATCCACTAAGTGTCACCCAACAGCTCAACGAGGACCACCTTTCACTGTCGGCGACGCTCACGGTGACACTGTTAAAGGCGTCGCCGCTTTCCATATTACCCTTTCCCTATACCCAATAAACCCCAACCCCATCCCCAAACACCGTGGCTCATTCCTTGGTCGCCGTGAAACGCGCGCTTTACAGAGGGGCCTTGTAAAGCCAGGTGCTCCCCTCCCCAGGGTTCCCGGGCCTGCATCGGCAGGGCTACCCGGAGCTGCACGGGCACCACAGTGTGCTGCGAGGGTGCTGAAATCCAAGGCAGAAACCTTGCGTGAGGAGATGAGGAGGAAAGCCCGGTCCTCCTCCCTCCGAGCTCCATCTCGGAGTGGGAGCTGGGAGCTGGGAGCCTTCTCTAGTGTCACCAGTGTGGCTGTGCAATCTGCACGCTGACAGCTTTGCCCCCGGCTGCTTTGGCTGGCTTGAGGGCGGCCCCTTCCACATCCTGCCCCTTGCCATTGCTGGCAGATCCACGGCTGAAGCCAGGAATGCCTGTGCTCAAAAGGTGACGTGCTCAGCCAGTGGGGCTTTCTGAGCCCAGGCTTAACGGCTCAACAGCTCTAAGTCAGTTCTGAGACAGCATCCTGTCAATCCTCTTTGGGCTGCTGTTTCCCGTCTTGCGTGTGTTTTCCAGTAACTCAGACAAAAATCGGACGTATTTTAAAACGCACTTTTTGATACCTGTCTCCCACAGTACGGGCCCCCTTCAACTCCAGGTGAGCTTTGCCCACGTGAATATTTCTCCTACAGAGGTGAACAGCATGTCTGTAGTTCACTGCTGTCACCTGGCCTTACTTCCATTTGCTAGACACTGATTTTCCACCCCGGCTCTACAAGATCAAGCCAAACCCATCCCGTGCCCCGCTTCCGTGACTTCTGACATATGGCATTTGCCAGTTGCCCCGCTCTTCATAAAGAGATGGTGCTTGAAAAGGGTCCAGCGCTCATTAATGGAACCCTTCCAAATAATTGAGCGAATGATGAAGGCATCAAAGTGTTCAAACGGAACCGTTTTATCTGTTCCACTTCGCTGTTTTGAATTTGTAAATGCCAGTACAGAGTAAGCTGAGCGAGTTGACAGCTTTGCAGCAGATTGACCAAAAGAGCTGTGCAGGAACACGGCTGCTTTTTTTTCCTGCTCAAAACTAATAGTGGTTCTGTATGAAACGGAGCTTTCTCGTGGGCCAGAGATTTAGCGCTGCTGTTTGGTGCGCATCATTGGGGAAACACTTCACTTGGAACGGGTTGACAGTTGAGAACGGACAGCATGTTTGCTATTGCTTCTTCTGTCATCATGTGGGTGGCTTGAACTGTTGCAGTTCCAATATGTGGGGTTATGATGGCGTTATTTAATTTCAACAAAGGATGATTTCTGCAAGAAACAGCAAGGACAGCGTATTACACCCGCAAGAAGCAGAAAGAACAGCATGGATATCACACGTTCCGTTAATTCTTCTGCTAGTTGCTGAGGTCAGAAGCTCAGGAAACAGCAAAGGCATTGATACGAAGGGGCCACGTACACAGGATTGGCAGAAAACGTTGGTAAATTTGCTTACCCATTTCTCCATCCTCTCTACTGGCCTCGGTGCCTTGCTTGGCACTCATGTTGTCTCGACAATGTGGAAGGCAGAATAGTTGGTCATCAGCTTAGGACTGCGCAAGATAAGAACGCCCTGAATGAAGGAAGAGGAATTGTCTTGGGCCACAGGCAAAATCTATGATGAAGTTGGTGGACACGGGCTAACAAGGATAATTTTCCTTGTTCTCCTTTCTACGAAACCGTTTTTTCAGCAATCGTGAAACCTGGTCCCCAGTTCCTTCAGCAAAGGGAACGCAAAGCTGCTTTCCCACACTCTTCTGTGGGAATTGGGCGCATTGCAGGCATCCCTCGTTCTCCCGCTGCACAAGCTACCATCGAGCACACTCATCAAACGCTGCAGTCCGTTCGTAAGGAACAAAGAAGGGGAATACGGGACACGCGCCACGAGAAAGATTATGCAAGGCTCTGCTTGTGCTGACTGTTTTGAATCGTCACCACACAGATGCAACTGGTGTGGATCGTCATTTCGGGGCCTGCCCAGTGCTCGAGGAACGGCCAATGGTCAACGTTCGGAGCACGGCCCCGCGCTGCTGGGAAGGTCCCTGTCCGCTGATAGCTTGGGGTCGTGGATATGCTTGTGCTTCCACAGGGACTGGCCCCACGTGGGTTCCAGCACGACGTGCTCGTCCTCCTCTCAAGGCAGAAAGTAGCATCATCCCTTACGACTGGGATTGTGTGCTTCTTGCTTGCTGGCACTGCTTTGTAACATGTGTTGCATTGCACATAACAACGTCAGTAATGGTGTGATGTAGCGGGTGATTTCCCTGTGTTGTCAAGGCGGTCTCAAGAATTGGAATTCTTAGGCGTTATCTAGGTTGCTGCGTGCTTCTTTTATTTCAGTAGTGGATCGAATGTGAGTAAACAGGATTTGATGCATCCTCATCGTGTGTTACCAGTGCTCACGTCACTTCTGTACCTTCACAAGTGTTCTGTTCCTGCAACTTTCCCATCCACCTTTAGTGATCGTTCAGAATCAGAATCCATCAGAATATGCAAAAGTTGAAGACCTTTTCCTAACCAGTTACACAGAACGGGACCCTCAGGGATTTATTTCCAGGTTGCAGAAACTTGGGTTGCAGCCAAACGTGTGTTGTTCTTTTCAGTGGGCTGACAGTGTTTCTTGTCATTATGCTGTGTTTGCCTTGCCTCGGAGTACTGTCAGTCGAGGGCTCGATTGAGTTACACCCATTATTTTAGCAAGACAATTGGTGTTATTATGTTGTAGTTTGCAAATAAACAGAAAGGGGGGAACTGTGGGAAGACAAGGAGAACCGTTCGGAGCAGCAGCTGTGGAGCAAGCTAAACGGCACGAGAACCGAGGACAGCTGAGGAAGAAGAAAGAGCGGCTGTGAGTGGATGAGCGCCCGCACGAAGGGCTGAAGGGCGTTTGCGGAACGCTCTGTTGGCGCCTAAGGGCGGCTGGGAAAGGTGTAGGGGCGGCTGGCGAAGCCAGGAACAGGAAGGCCGTGAAGGTACAGAAGTGCCGTGAGCACTGGTAGCAGACGCTGAGGATCGGTCACACCTGAGTCCGCGCCTCAGGCGCTGCAGCCTCGGCTCCGGGCAGGGCCGCGTTCGGCCGGCGAAGCCGCGGGGCTCCGTTCCCGCGGGCCGCCACCGGGGCCCGCCCGCCCTCCGCCCGAAGCCCAGGCGTCCGAGTCCCAGGCGAAGGCGGGAGGAGTCGCGGGAGGGCGGCCAGAAGCCGTCGGCGGTTCGGGCCCGGCGTTTCGGTCCGAGGACGCGGAGCGAGCGAGGAGCGCGGGGCGAGCCCCTTCGCGCCCAGGCGAAGGCCCCGTCGGTCGCGACGCAGCGCCGGGAGGCCCGCGGAACCGCAGAACGGCCCGGCTCGGAAGGCGCCCCGAGGATCGCGGATGTCCGCCGACCTCCCCATGTCACGGCGGAGCGGGCCGCCTCCGAGCCGGCCTCGAACGCCTCGGGGGCCGGACGGGGCCTCTGCCCGCAGCCTCTCCGGGCAGGCGGCCCGTTCCAGCAGCTCGCCGCTCTCCCGCTCAGGAGAGCCCGCTTGCCGCAGGCCCGCTCCCCGAAGGCGTCCCTGCCCGGAGCCCGCTCTGACGGCAGGGCGCGGCAGCCCCTCTGTGACGCGGCCTGAGCTCACAATGGCACGGCGCGCGTCGCAGCGGTGAGCGCCGCCTCGAAGCTCGCCGACCCCTCATTTCCCAGAGAGGCCGACGAGGCTCCGGGCGCTCGCCGAGGAGCTGATCTCGCCGCCGTGCTCTGGAGCATCCGCCGTTCCGTGAGGAGCAGTAGGCAGAGAGAAGCGGGAGGGCAGGGGCGAAGGGCTGAGGAGGAGGGCCGTTTGGCCGGCCGCCCGCCCGCCGCGGTCGTTGACCTGCGGCGAGGGGGGAAGGAAGATGGCGAACTCCCTCTTCTCGAGACCCCGCTCGACTCCGACTGCGGAGATGATCCGGAAGTCTGGTAAGGCCTTCGGGCCCGGCGGCGCGCGCGTGTTGTCGGGCCGGTGACAGCTCCGAGCGCAGGTGTGGAAGCCCTGCTCCTGAGGGAGGGATGGAGGGAGGCGGGGACGGCTGAGCAGGGCGGGTTGCGGCGCGAAGGCGGCTGCCTTGGCAGCCCGGGGGCGCGAGGAGCGCTCGGGCGGGCGCGACTGCTGGCTTCTGCTCCCGGCCTGGCCCCTGCCTTCCCGGGGATCTGCGAGCAGAAGCCGCCGGCGGAACCGAATGGCTCGGAAGGCTCAGCAGCGCGCCGTTCCTGTGGCGGGAATTGGGCGTGCTGAAGGGTTTGGAGGTGGCCGCCTGGGAGCGTGACGCGTCTTTCCTTTTGTTTTGCAGAGCTCGCTAAGTTTTGGTTCAGCACATCCTATTATCTCGGCCGACAGCTGGCTCTCTACCAGGTGGGACTTGCCTCCTACGCCCTTCGTCCCTCTCGCGGTTGATTCAGCCCCGATGGCCCATTTGCCACGGAGCGCAGCTATTCTTGCCCTCCGTGGAAGCAGGACCCGCGCCCCAGAGGGGCACCGCGATGCGAGACGGGGGCCGCGGGCTGGCTCCACCGTCAGCTCTGAACTGCCAGGGGCTCCAGGCCTAATGATGGAAAGAGGGCTGGGCATTTTCTGGGCCTGCGTGCTTCCTTCCTCTGCCGGCAGAGTCAGAGGGATCCTGTGGGGGTGACTGCAAGTTTGGGAGCCCCGCTTGTGTCTTTATGAGCCAGAAGACTGCGCTCTCTGGTTCTTCACGGGGAGGAGGGGCGAGAGGGAAATAGTCTTCCGTCATTCCCTGCACAACTTCTTCTGATCCGCCCTTTCTCCTCTTTCAGGCTGTGAGCATTCCTGAACTGGGCGCTTTCACCGTTGTCAGAGAGCACATGGTCAACCAGCAGAACAATGTGGTTCTTGTTGAGAGACCCGTGTTTCATCTGGCAAAGGCTCTTGCGCAGGACCACGACCTCCAATACGACTACGTAGACGTTGCAGGTAGGAAGAGTGGAGTCTGACAGAGGAGCCTGCCCTGGCACTCTGGTGGGGACAGTGTGACAGACTGCCATTGCAAATGGCAGCAGAGGGTAGCAGCACACTCCTTCAGCTGCTTCAGCAGCAGGTTTCATTCCGGTCTCATCGGCTCCGCGTCTCAGCGTCTCCACAGAGACGTACCAATGGTTCCGCCTCACAATCTCAAAGACTACAGAACAGCAGTGCGTTGCCCGAGGGCCTGGAAGCTGCTGCCTTTTGAGCGTGGCCTGCCCATGGCTCCCCAAGTGCTCACGCTCCTCTCCTCTCGCTTCTCCAGGACACGACGAGTATCAGCAACTTCCTTATGATGAGATAGCCTCGGAAACCGGCATCTCTGAAGGCGCGGCGCGGCTTTGCGTGCAAAGGACCGTCTGCCAGTTCAGCGCCTGCATAGGGAAGAGGCAGAACGTTGCCTTCGTCTGGTGGGATGTCGGCATGCTGCTGATCGAAGGGAAGCGTGTCCAGATGAAGTTCTACGAGGACTTCTTGGGGAAGCTCAATGGGACTGCCGAGGCGCTGCAGGCTCTTCTTGGGGTAGGTCTTGCGTTTTCCCAGCACTACCTCTGATTCTTCTGAAACGCCTTCCGGGGACGAGGGGACTGCTTTCTCCTGGCGTGCCATGCTTCTCCAGCCAGCCGGGCTCCTGGCGGTGTGCGGGAAAGCGGGCTCTGGAGAGCTCTTCCTGTACGTGAGGTGGCCCGGCTCTGCGCGGGGATACGCGCCCTCAAAAGGCCTCGCTTTTTGTCAAGGGACAAACGGTGCGCGTCACTGCGCAGCCCCAGCTCAGAGCACGGAGCAGAGGCACAGGCACAGCAAGGCTTGCTGAGGCCCGGACCCTTCCCTGTGGCGGCTCTCGTCGTGTTGGGCTGAGAGAGACTGGAGCTGCCAGCCATTGCCAGTGTCCCCACCTCCCATCGTCTGCTTCCGTTCTGATTGCAGGTGCCAGAAATGAGCAAGGCGGTCATCTCACGCAATGCCTGCGCGGCTTCCCTAACGGCTTCCGGACACGTTACCGTCTTTCCCATGTGAGTATGCTTGCTCCTGCCACCCACGCCTGAGTGAGATGGTACTCGCCACGGTACTTTGCGGTGCTGAGAGGCCTGAGAAGCGGGCAGGGAACTCCCCGCTCGCTCTAGTTCAGTTGGGTGGCATTTGGAGGAGCGTGGCGTGGCAAAGTGACGTTTTGCGTCCGGGCCAGAGTCGAAACTGGGGGGGGCATTTAGGCCAGTCTTCCTTCTGGTTTTCCCTGGGCTTCTTTTGTCCGGCAAATGAGAGTGGGTATGGCTAAGGACCCAAGGGCTGGAGGAGGAACAGATGGTTGTGCAGACGGGAGCTCGAGCGTGGTGGGCTTCCGCAGAGCTCTGTCTCATACCGTCGCTGCTGCGCAGTGCCACCCAAAAGAGGTGCGGGCGGGGGGCGTGGAGTTGAGCCTTCAGAGCTGCGAGGACGTTATTCTGCAAGAAAGTCGCAGGGCAAGAAGAGAGCGAAAAGGGCTGTTGGGTAACTGGGTGGGGAGCAACCGGTCTGTTCTGAGCGAGAGGGGAATATTTCCTCCTCTGGAGCAGGCAGGGGGATTGGCTGGGAGCTCATCTGCTCTCACAGCAAGGACAGAAGAACACTGGCACGCACCGACGGGCCTCACCTGCCCCTCCAGGCACTGGAGATCCTGGTACGGTTCTCCAGAATGAGCTGCTCTGGGAAGCGTGGCCTTACAGCGTCTCTGCGTTCTGTCTCTGTCGCTCCGCTATTGGGTCACGCCGCGAGGGGAAGCGTTGCCCTTCCTTCAGCCCGCTGCTTCCTCTTCCAGGTACACGCACGAGATCGAACTTGAAACGCCCGACACAGCAAAGGTGGACCTGAAGTACCACGTGAAGACCAGACGTGGGCAAGACTGGGCAAGAGGCAGGAAAGGTGAGGGACCCGGGGGTTGCCATCGGGGGACTCTGTGTTTGCCTTCCTCCTCGTCTGGAGGCGGTTAGAGCTGACCTTACCACAGGGCGCCCGGAAGAGCGTGAGACGCTTCCGGTGACTCTTTGTACCGTTATGGGAAAGCCTGAGCGATCCATTGCGAAGAGAGTTCTCAGGGCAGCCCTCCATCACAAGTGGCCACGGGGATCATCCCAGCAGAGGACACTTTCCCAGTGGCCTCCACTCGGCTGCCTGCCCTGCCAGCCCTGGAAATCCCTCCCCTCGCTTCCCTTCGTATTCTCCGATGTCTCAAAAGCAATTCCTCTGGTGTGAGCACGCCCCAGTAGCAAAGCTGTGTGCGTGGGACGTGCATCAAGAGATGAAAGAGCCAGCTCCTCTTGTGCTAAACGAGTCCCCTCCCCACGATGGCTCTTTGAGACCACCGGCAACTGCCAGGGCCTCCCCCATTTCAGCACACAGACCAGATGAAGGCCTCAGGTAGCGTTCCCCAGGGAACAGCGTTGCCCCACAGCCATGAGGAGTCGGACCAAAACCGTGCCAGAAGCACAGCTGTTGGAAGTTTTCCCCTTTCCTCTTTCTAGGGGACCTTTGCGAGACGCGCCTCCTTCATCGCGCAGCGCTTCCTCCCAGGAGGTTACCGCCACTGACTGGAGTGCGGGGCAGAGACCAGGCAGCCGAGGAGAAAGAGCCTCGCACCAGGTGAGACTCCTGGCCAAAGAAATGCGGGCGGTGCCACGCTCTTGCCTCCGTGGGAGCGAAGTTTCTCCCGGATCCAGAGGCTGTATGGATTCAAGCAGCTCTGCATGACAGACGCCCCGTAGCATCCCTTCTGAGCTGGGTAACTCATGGCAAGTGCTCCTCGCGAGAGCGCAGAGACTTTCTTGCTTCCCTTCAGGTGGAAGCGAACCGGGCCTTTCTGTTTGCCGAGCCCGGTGCCCAAAGGGACAGGAAACGTCCCGGGAAGGGATGAGGGTGTTCCTTTCCTAGGAGCGTTTGAGCAGAGTGAGCGTGTTTGTGGGCTGCTGTCAGCGCCGCAGGCTGTTCACAGGTCTCCAAGGGAAGTGGTAGAGACCAGCTCAGTCATTTGGGGGCTCTTGCAGACTTTTTTTGCTGAGGAGGCTGCTGAAACACGTTCAAGCACGCAACGCAGGCCCAGCACCTCCTGC